GTGTGTGTGTGTGTGTGTGTGTGTGAGTGAGATATGAGATGCCTACCCCACCTCAGCTGGAGTTCTCAGGGTTGGCCCATAGACCTTCTGCAGGGGAGGAGAAAGCAGTTCCCACCTGGATAGATGGTATGAACTAGTTTAGCAGGAGCTCTGATGTTCGATTCCTGTCCCACCTTCTGCCCTGGCCTCTGGGTTTGTCCCCAAACCCTCCCCAGGAGTGGGGCCTGCAGAGCCAGCTGGGTGGGGCGGGTGCCAGGGGCCAGCGCAGGCAGGACATGGGGCAGGGTCTTTCCTGGTGGCAGTCGGCTCACGGGTGGGGGCGGATGGCCTTGCACCTGTGGGAGGTGCTGCCTGCCATTATGACAGGGTGGAGACATGTGGCCTTTGCCCCTGTCCCTGTCACAGTGCCCTTCAGCCCCTGGGATTTCCCGAGTAACAGGAGGGGACACCCCAGATAGCAAGAGTCCCAATGCTCTGGGGCCCCCACCTGCAGGCAGAGAGGCTGGGGTCCATGTTGGGGGCACCCAGGATAATGATGATCTTCCAGACCAGGAGCCACAGTGCTGAGGGCGTGGCGTCTGGCTGTCCCCCCATCTACACCCAAGGAGGGTGCCATGGGGCCTAACTGAACCCTGCTGGTCACGTCCTGTGGCTGGTGATGGTGTCTGAAGTGGGGGTGGCCTTGGGGATGAAGTGACCTCTGAGGGACAGAGTCTTCTGAGGAGACGCCCACGTCCAGATGCACACGCGTGGCCCTGGGGGTTTCATGTGGGTGGTGCACCTTGGTGACTCGGGGACCTTGGAGCCCCGGGCCGAGGCCGGTGCTCCGGCAATGTTTGGCAGTTCCCTGCTCCGTGTCCTCGGTGCTGTTGCTGCCGGGCTGGGTTTACCCCTCAGGCAGGTGCCGCTGGCCTCTGTTTCAGAGTGCAGCTGTTGTCTCTGCTGGTGAGCAAGTTGGGGTTGTGCTGTGTTTTGCTGTTTGATTATTTCTAATGTAAGAAACTGGTGACCTGACTTGTGGAGCTGGGGCCCCACTTTTTCCCCAGCCGCAGCTCTCCCCGAGGCAGGCTCACCAAGGCGCAGTGTGTCTGTCACCTGTGGCGACTCTGGGAAGTCACATCAGACAGTTTCCGTCTGGACTCTGCGTCCTGCTGTGGGCATTTCCAGGCTGGGGCTGTCCATGGGTTGGTGCAGCCGTGGGAGCCGGGCAGGTGGCCCCAGTGTAGGGGCCGTGGCTTGGCCACCCGGGGTGCCAGGAGCTGAGCCCCTGCCCTGGCCTCCACTCTGTGGTTGGAGCTTGCTCGAAGACAGGTCTGTGTAACATCTCAGGGACTTGGGTGCTGGGGTGGGGCCGCTGCAGTCTTCGTGTTCCCAGGAGGGGTGGGGACAGTTCTGTGTGGACACTGAGAGCAGCGGGCAGGACCAGATGGAGCACAGCAAGGAGAGCGGAGTGGCATCCGGGACCGGGTGTGGATGTCCTGTGGTCAGGGCTGCAGGCCCACGCACCCGTCAGGAACCCAGGCTGGGCACGTGGAAGCCCATGGCCGAGGCTGTGGGGTCAGCAGAGGACACCTGCTGGTCAGCAGGCTGCAGGAGTCACCTCCAGGTCCCTTGTCCAAGGCCTGCAAGCATGGATCCTGGTTCCTTGGGTCTTTTATGTATGTGGGGGGAGTGAATCCAAGGCCTTTGTACTGAGCTGCATCCCCAGCCCTTTTTTTTTCTGCGGGGGGTAGGGGTTCAAACAAGGTTTCAGTGTGTTCAAGGCTGGCCTTGAGTCTACTGTGCAGTCCAGTCTGGCCTCACACTCATGGCAGTCCCCCTGCCTCAGCCTCCTGAGTGCTGGGATTGCAGGCGTGCACCACCACACCCGGCCCCCGAAACAGCATCTTGCTAAAGTTGCCCAGGCTGGGCTTGAACTTGCGGTCTTCCTGCCTCAGCCTCCCAGAGTACTGAGGTTACAGGTGTGCCCCTCACACGCACTTCCCCGTGGCTCTTACCACATGTCCTGTGCGGTGTGAGAGTCAGGACGCAGGGCTCCTGTCCAGCCCCTGGCTACCAGGCATCCCTGTCACACAGCCTTGTTGCAGCACCAGCCCCCCTGGGGACAGAGGCCTTAGCTTTGAGGGAAGGAGCTTGCACACCTGTTGCTGGCAGCAGCTTTGCCCAGCACAGGTGAGTGCCCTGGCAGAGGGCACATCTTGAACGCAGGCTTTCTTTTGCGACATCTAATAGAAACCTTGTCTGAATCCTCTCCTGATGTGGAGTCCAGGCTTTAGTATTGGGCCTGACCTGGAAGGCAGACCGTGCAGGGGTTGGGGTTGCTGTGGAGCCAGGGGTAGTGTGCTGGGTGCCTGGCCAGTAGTGAGAGGGTGGGGACAGGTGTCTGGGGTCCCCACAGGGGCAGCTTGTGCCTGGAAATGGCCTTTCCTACAGTCCTGGGGCTGCTGGACCAGCTCTAGTACCTGCAGGTGGTCACTGAGCGGAGCACCAGCACTGCAGTGACCGTGTGTGGACAGAGGGCACCTCCGGGGTGGTGGGGCAGCTTGGCTGGGAGATCTGCACTGCTCTGTGAGGCCCAGGGCGTATGCAGGAGCGGTGGAGTCGGCTGAGCCCTGGACAGAGAGACAGACAGGGCGGGGAGAGGGTGACTGCGGCCTCCAGGGTCACGGGGCAGGGTGTGAGAGAGACAGACAGGGCGGGGAGAGGGTGACTGCAGCCTCCAGGGTCACGGGGCAGGGTGTGAGAGAGACATGAGCTAGGCATCTGTGTTCCATGTAGACACGCTGGCATCTGGGAGAGGTCCCTACCAGGAGTGACCATGCAGTATGAAATACAAGCCAGACGTGGGGGCACATATCTGTCATCCAGCACTTGGAGGCTGAGGCAGGCGGATCAAAAGTTGGGCCCAGCCTGTGTAGTTCACCAGCTTTGTGAGACCCTGTCTTAAAAGAAAAAAAATAAACAGGCTGGGAAGGTAGCTCAGTGTAAAGGCCCTGGGTTTGACCCTCAGAACCACCCCAAAGAAGTGACATACGTGACACATGCGACACACAAGACCCAAAGTGAGCTTGCTGGTGAAGACCTGGCCTGGGTGGAGTGAGCCGGCGAGGTGCCGCCACACACTTGTGATCTGAGACAGGAGGGTCACCATGAGCCTGGGCTATATAGAGAGACCCTCTCTTGAAAGAGCAAAACAAACAAACCAATCTGGGTGGATGAGCCAGAGCTGCCCGCCGTGCTGGGTGTGGGGGCAGGGTCTGAGGGCAAAGCCCAGCCGGGAAGAAAGCGGGAGAGAGCAGAGCCCCAGAGACCATGCGGGGGTCCAGGCGGGGCTAAGCCCTCTGCTCGCTGTCTCTGAGTTGTAAACCGGTTTCACTGGATGATTAAAGCTCTGAGAATATTAGGTACTCGACCTGAGAACCCCGTTTCCTTTCCTCAGCCTTCTGCCTCGCTGCGGCCATGCCTTCTGGGTCAGTCTGCGTCCCCACCTGGGGCAGTCGCTGTGAGCCATGCTGGCCCCACTGAGCTGCGCTCCGGTTGTGGTGGCCTCAGCATGGCGGAGCCCCTGGCCCCGGAAGGGAGCGCACCTGGCCCCGGCAATGGCTCTGGCACCAGCTCTGAGCCCGAGCCCAAAGGGAAGCCGCTGCCGGACTGGGCTCCCCTGCTTGGCCACCGCAGCGAGAAGATCCTGTTTGGCAAGAGCGAGGGAGGCCCCGAGGGGAGCCTGCTTGCCGTCACCATCACGGAGACCACGGTCATCGAGTCAGACCTGGGCCTGTGGAGCGCGCGGGCGCTCACCTACCTCACACTGTGGTTCTTCTTCAGCTTCTGCACGCTATTCCTCAACAAGTACATCCTGTCGCTGCTGGAGGGCGAGCCCAGCATGCTAGGTGATGAGGCGGGGAGGCAGTCGGGAGGGAGGGACCTGGGAGACCCAGTGGCGGGGACAAGGATGTGCGTCTCCCCAGGCGCCGTGCAGATGCTGTCCACCACGCTCATCGGCTGCGCTAAGGTCTTCGTCCCATGCTGCCTGCACCAGCACAAACCGAGGCTGTCCTACCCACCCAGCTTCATCACGACCATGCTCTTCGTGGGCCTCATGAGGTGGGCCGCCCCCCGGGTCCCAAACACATTTCTGGGTACCAGGCTCGGGGCCCCTGCCGTGGCCGCAGTGGTGAGGGCTCCAGGCCCAGCAGGATTGGTTTTGGACCTCTCATTGCCACAGCTACTGACCAGATTCTGGGGGGAGCAGTCTGGACCCCGATTACGTGGGGTGGAATGGAGGGGGGTGGGCCAGGGCGGCGGGCCACACAGTCACTCCTGCAGCAGACGCATTCTGGGTCACACCTGGAAGCTGCCGCCAGGCCCTGTGCTGGCTGGGGTCCCGAGGATGGGGACCCGTCCGTGTGGAGCTCCTGAATTTCAGGCCATGCGCCCCGCCATCTCCCGGGTTCTTGGCAGGTTTGCAACCGTGGTCCTGGGTCTGGTCAGCCTGAAGAACGTGGCAGTGTCCTTCGCTGAAACGGTGAAGAGCTCCGCCCCCATCTTCACTGTGATCATGTCGCGCATGATCCTGGGGGAGTACACAGGTGAGCCGCGCCAGCCCGCCCTCGCCGTGTCCCCCAGGTCGTGCGGAGTCCTGCCTCGCCAGCTTTGTGCGTGTCGTCCCATCTGCCCACCGCCAGCTGCGGCTCAGTGGCTCCTCAGCTGGCTCCTTAGGGTCACCAAAGCAGATGTGGTTTTGTGGCCCTGTGTGCCCAGCTGTCCCCATGTGGCCTAATGGGTCAGAGCAGGGTCATCTCGTGGCCTGGCAGGGGAGGCGGGTGGCGCTGGACTGCAGGACGTCTCAGTGCCAGTCATGACCCAGGGGAGGCAGGCAGCCTCCCAGGGGCTGTGGCGGTGGCTGCTGTCCCCTCATCTTCCCCGTCTTGGCTGCGTCCCTGTGCTCACAGCTCTTCCGAGACTGCTCCCCATGCAGACTCTGAAGGTCGGGTTTGTCTCAGCAGCGTGCAGGTGCTATAGCTCCGTGGAGAGCCACGGCTGCTTTCCTTGGGCCTTTACCTGTTTATGCGGAGGTGCTGGGATCGACCCTGGGGCCTTCACCCTGGGGCTTCACCCTGGGCCTATACCCCAGCCCTTTCCCAGGCTCACGTGACCCCAGGGCCAGCCAGCCAGGGCTTGGCACGAAGGTCGAGGCTCCAGGGGAGCAGGTCAAGCGGCTGCTCTCACAGGCCCTTGGAACCACACAGTATTTAGGGGATCATGGGACAAAGAGCGTCAAGAGCAAGTCCTCACATCATAGGGGTGTGAAGGAGCCGCATGCTTGGGTGGGTGGAGTCTCCGGGCAGGTCCTGGTCCCTTCTGCACTTAGGCCCGTGGACCGCTGGGGCTGGGTGTGCACACTGGTCACTCGGTCCACCAGCCCGAGGTGGCCCTCAAGGACTCAGGTCCACCCTGGGTGGCAGCGTCAGTGGCGAGGAAGGGGTCTGCTTCCTGAAAGGGACGGCACAGGCCCTCAGGGGACCGGGCTTGGGGTCCCGTGGTGGCACTGAGAGGCGGCTACACACACCTGAATCCAGCACTCGGGGAGGAGGGCAGGTTGCAGCCCTTTGGGGCAACTTAGAGACGCGTAGACCGTGTTGCAAAAATAAATTAAATATGGGCTGGGGTGGAGCTCAGGGCAAAGGACCCTGCTTTGCTTCCCAGTACCACACACACAGTTCATATGCTCCTTTTCCTTGAATTTCAAAGTAAATGCCACACCCAAATCAAAGAACAGCGCAGTGCCTGATTCCCTTTTTCTAAAATAAGTATGTGCATGGGAAACGTGATTGTGTTGTATTAAATGGATTTTCAAAATCAGTCATATAGGCTTTTTACTACTCAGAAGCCAAGGGTGTCTGCCCTGATGGGTGCTCCCGGCAGCCCACACTGCTTACGTCTCGCTGTCCTCGGCTGAGCTCTCCCAGGACGTCTCCTCCCACTCTGGTGCTGCCTGGCGGCGTGGTGCGGGCAACCTTCTGAGACGGGTCTTTTTTTTTTCCCCAGCAGCATCGTGGGGGCAGCGGGTTTTTTTGGGGGTGGGAGTTGCACTGTCCAAGGGACCTGGGCCCTGTGTCACGTGTGTCCTACCTTTCCAGGGCTTCCGGTCAACCTGTCCCTCCTCCCAGTCATGGGAGGGCTGGCTTTGTGCACTGCCACTGAGATCAGCTTCAACCTGCTGGGCTTTTCGGCCGCATTGTCCACCAACATCATGGACTGGTGAGTCTGGGGGCAGCGTGGGGTGGGGCGGGGCCGGGCAGGAGAAGCGTGCATCCCTCGTCCCTTGTCCCTCGCCTGGACTCGGACGTGGGGTCCAAGCTTGCCTAGTGAGGCCTGTGACGTTGCCGGCGCCTTTTCCCAAGTCAGCAGCTGCTCTACACCAGCTCCCACGCGCAGCCTCTTCTTTTTCCAGTTTACAGAACGTCTTTTCCAAGAAGCTGCTCAGCGGGGACAAGTACCGGTTCTCGTGAGTGTCACACACCCCGCCTCTGGGCCCCGGGGACCTCCCTCAACCCCGCCAGGCCTGATGCATCTCCCTTGTGGGCCAGGGGCCTTCAGCACATTGTCCTGAGCTGCCCTCAGGGCCCCAAAACACCAGGCTCAGTGCCTGGCCTTCCGTTCTGGACAGCCATGCCATGCCCTTGTCAGCAGGAGCCCACACGTGCCCCACTGTGGGAGGCCCCCACGCCCTCTCCCCAGGTCCCAGTGTGCGAGGCCCGTCCCGTCCCTGCAGGGCCCCGGAGCTGCAGTTCTACACCAGCGCAGCGGCTGTGGCCATGCTGATCCCCGCCTGGATCTTCTTCATGGTGGGTCTCTGGGCGTCTCCTCTGCACTTGGCCTTGATGGGTTGGGCCTGCTTGGCCTACACCTGACTTGGCCTGTGTGGTGGGCGGTGTCCACCGGGACCAGAGTGAGGCCATCACCAAGGGCCTTGAGGAGGTGGCTGTGCCCTGGGGCTTCGTGGACCTGCACTGCATGCCAAGATTCCCTTCCTCCCTTCCTTTCTTCCTTCCTTCTTTTCTTCCTTCTTTCCTTCCTTCCTCCCTCCCTCCCTCCCATGCTATCTCTCTCTCTCTCTTTCTTTCTTTCTTTCTTCTTATTTTCTGAGACAGGGTTGTGCTGTATAGTTCAGGCTGACCTTGAACTCACTGTGTAACCCAGGCTGGCCTTGAATGCTCGGCAACCCTCCTGCCTCAGCCTCCTGAGTCCTGGGATTACAGTTGTGGACCTATACACTCAGCTTGCTGAGATTTTTGTGTGTGGGTTTTTAGGTTTGTGTGGTTTATGTTTTCACTGTAAAATGCCATGCAGTGGTGGTGTATGTGACCAATTGGCCACATACCTGCTATGGTCCCTCTGCTCCTGGCTCGAGTGTGCTGGGGCCCCTCAGGGTGTGAACATGTGCTCCATGCCCAACGTGGCAACCCAGGCTGGCCACTGGGGGCGCCGCTGCTCCTCGGCTGCATAGGGACAGTGCGGCTTGTGCCTGTACCCGGCAGCCAGCCTGTTTCTCCGGGATGCTTTCCTGTGATTGGAACAGTTGGCGGAATGAAGCCGTGTGTGAGTTGCGGTGGTTGCATACGTTAGCATTCATAATGTGCAGGACAAAGCATAGCTTCTTTGTCTTTCTGCTGCACTGGGAGTTGAACATACAGCCTTCGTACTCAGCTGTGTCCCCAGCTCTTTTTAAATTTTCTGTTTTGAGGAAGGACCCCACTAAGTCACTAAGTTTCTCAGGCAGGACTCAAACTTGGGATCCTTCTGCCTCAGTCTCGGAGTATTGGGATTGCAGATGTGAAGACTTTGCCTCTGTGTAGCTGAGCATGGCGGCGCACACCTGTAATCCCAGCACTAGGGAGGTTGATACAGGATTGCTGCAAGTTTGAGGCCAGCCTGGGCTACATAATGAGTTCAAAAAAAGAAAAAATTAAAAAGAGAACTTGCCCTTTTTTTTTTTTTTTTTTGAGATGCTGGGGATAGAATCCAGGCATCCTGTAGAACTGAGAACCATCCCCTTCCTCTTGGTTTTTTTATTTCGAGATAGGGTCTCAATAAGTTGCCCAGTTTGGCTTTCAACTAGTGATCCTCCTGCTTCAGCCTTCTGAGCGGCTGGAATTGCAGGCGTGTGCCGCCATGTCTGGGTCAGCTTAGTGGCACTGAATACATACACGCTGTGCACTCATTACCACCACCCACCCCCACGACGTTTTCTTTGTCCCAGATTGATACCGTCCCTATTCAACACTCCCCAGCCGCCTCCCTTGGCCCTTGGCCCCCTGTGTCCTCCTTTCTACTTCTTGGGACCTTGAGTGAGTAGATTTGTGTCTTTGTGTCAGGTTTTGCTTTTTGTTGGAGACAGGGTCTCACTGTGTAGCACACACTGGGCTTGAACTTGTAATCCTTCTGTCTTGGCATCCCAGTGTGGGTCAGAGATCTGCGCCCTTATATCGGGCTGGCTCAGGTGCTGTCCTGGTGGGGGAGTGGCGCTGGTCTGTCCATGCTTCCCCACCACCCAGGCGTGTGGGCTGCAGAGCTCTGCAGGTTCCTGATGAAGCCAGGTGTGGGTGGTGCCTGCTGGTAATCCCAGCACTCAGGAGGCTGAGGCAGGAGGATCATCATGAGTTTGAGGCCAGCTTGGGCTATACAAGTAAGTGAATTGTACTGTGAATTGAGCTCAAGGCCAGTCTGAACTACGTAGTGAAATCCTGTTGCAAAAAAGAAAAAAAAAAAGGAAAGAAAAGAAAAAAGAAAGTCTGGAGGAGGGTGTTCCAGCTACTCGATGGCTGGCTGCAGGGTGTCTTTCTTGACCTGATATCCCCTGGTCTCGGCAGTGGCCCTGGGTGAGGTGAGGCCCACACAGCGCCCCTCTGCTCTGGCTGCAGGATGTGCCCGTGATCGGCAGGCGCGAGGGGAGCTTCCGCTATAGCCCGGATGTGGTGCTGCTGCTGCTGACGGACGGCGCCCTATTCCACTTGCAGAGTGTCACCGCATACGCGCTCATGGGCAAGATCTCCCCAGTGACCTTCAGGTGCGTGGTCTCTGGGAGGCTGTTGGGTGGTTTTCAGGAAAGCCTGACATCCAGGTGACCCCATCCAGTGCGTTCCAGGGAGGTTGCGACTTGAGGTCTTCAGGGTCATTTGCACTTTTCTGTCCAGCACAGCGCTGTCCACGTCCCCACCCTCCAGTGTGAGCACTTCGGGTGGGCAGAGCGGCGAGAAGCAGATCGCTCGTTTTCGGAGATTTTGCCGTTCAGCGCCCCGGTGAACCCTGCAGCCAGCTGGGCTTCTCCTCTGGGCATTCAGGGGAGCTAAGCAGCCCTGGCCTCCTCTCACCTCCCTATCTGGGCAGATGTAGTGGACGCGTAGCTGAGACAGGAGGGTTTCCAGCAGCAGGCAGGAATGAGCTCAGTAGTGGGTGTGCCACAGCATTTGTTGGCCTGCCCAAATGCTGGCGTTCTCTCACTTCTAAATGGCCGGGGGAGCCAGCCTGGTCCCGGAATGTGAGAACAGAAGTGTACATGACCAAGTCATGCTGCAGTGGACCACACTCAGGTCTCGCCTCGGTTTTTTTGGGTACTGTGAATTGAACTCAGGACCTCGGGCTTGCCAGGCAGGCGCTGCACCACTGAACTAAATCCCCAGCCCCTTCACCTGCTTCTTTGTTCGGTACTTTTTTATTTTTTTCAAGACAGAGTCTCAGGATGTAGTTTAGGCTGGCCTTAAACTCAATATGTAGCCCAGGTTGGCCTTGAGTTCATAATGATCCTTCTGCCTCCCCCTCCCAGAGTACTGGGATGACGGGCGTGGGCCACCTCACCTGGCTAGGATTGGTTTACTTGAGGGGCTTCTCACCTTTTGGAGAGGAGGCTGAAGTACTTAGAGGTAAACGTGTACTTCAATGTGTTCGAATCCAAAGAATGCAGCATCGTGGTGGCCTCTGGGTCTGGGTCTGGGGTTGGGGCCTGGGCTGTCAGTTACAGCGTTTCTCTGCGTCAGTGTTTCCGTAACAGTAAGCATCCTTGGAGAAAGCCAGAGGGAGGGGTCCCTGCTGCTCCCGCTCCTGCCCCCCCCCCCGCTGCTCCCCTCTGTCCCCCCTCTGTCCAGTCCCCTGGGCTGCACAGCCAGGCCCTTGGTCACCTCCCCCCCTCCCCTGTCTGCAGTGTGGCCAGCACTGTGAAGCACGCCCTGTCCATCTGGCTCAGCATCATCGTTTTTGGCAACAAGATCACCAGCCTGTCTGCCGTTGGCACCGTCCTGGTGACAGTGGGCGTCCTGCTCTACAACAAGGCCCGGCAGCGCCAGCAGGAGGCCATGCAGAGCCTGGCTTCAGTCACCAGCGGGGCCCTGGAGGACGACGTGGAGCCACTGCTCCCCCAAGACCCCAAGCAGCACCACTGAGCCGGACCCCTGGACCACAGTGGGAGGACGTGTGAAGCGGCTCCCGAGGCCCTCTGTGAGCCCTGTGGGCAGGAGCGGCTGCCTGGCCGTCTGGACTGCAGCCAGCAGGGCCTCGGTGTCTGCTGGGTGCCAGCACAGAGACCTCCGCTCCTTCACACCAGCTACCACAGGCATCCAAGCCACCCGGCCATGGCTGTGCCTGCAGCCTGGCTCTGGGTCTGCCTGTGGGCCTCGGGGCAGAGGGCTGAGGTGCCCATGGCCCCAGACACAGAGGCCACACAGCTTGAGAAATGTGGGGCACAGACAGGCTGGAAGCCAGGGTCCCCTGCACTGAGGGCAGGGCTTGGTTCCTTCCTGCTCTACAGCTGTGTCAGGATCCCGTAGCCACACCACCAGTGACATGGGAGGGGCAGAGTGTGACACCTCTCCCAGGAAGGGTGCCCCCACTGCCTCTTCCCTGGCCTGCGGCCCATCCCTCACCAGGTGGCAAGTCCTGCCCGCTGAGTGATGACAAATCTCTGCTGTTCCGTTCCTGTGCGGGACCCTGGAGGGGAAGCCGGGCTCGCCCCGGAGCCAGCCCCACTGCCCATACTGCAGGGCGCTTGTCTGCTGAGTGTCTTTCAGGTGACAGCTTGAAAGTGTTTTGTTTTTTTTGTACTGGGAATCAAACTCAGGACCTTACGCTTGCCAGGCAGGCACTGTGCCACTGAGCTAAACCCCCAGCTGTATTCTGTTTTTTTGAGACAGGGTCTCGCTATGCAGTTCAGGCTGCCCCTGAACTCACTGTGTAGCCCAGACTGCCCTTGAACTCGAAGTGATCCTCCTGACTCAGCCTCCTGAGTTCTGGAGTTGTAGGCCTGCACCACCACACCTCACATAACACTGAAAGTGACACTGCTTTTTAAGAAGCAGGCACCCATACAAACGGTGTCTGAGCGTCCTGTGTATCAGGTAGGCCACCATCTGCATGTGAGCCCAGTCTGCCTGTCCCCACACCGGGGGACCGCAACACCACTGTCAACATCCCCCGCCGAAGGGCTCAGGAAGCCTGAGGAAAGGGCACTGAGCACGCTGGGGCACAGGCCGCCTCTCGATGCCCTGTGTGAGCCACAGTCCTGGCACACTTGGCCCTGTGTCTCATTTCCTGTGCCCACACACTAGCTTTGTGGCAGCCATTGTTGCTTCACCGGCTTTCCAGTTGGCTTCTCACTTGGAAAACACAAACGAGTCCGTCCTGGAGACAAGATCTCTCAGAAACCAAGAGCAATAAGTCCCTCTTACTAAGTTCCACCTGCGGGAGAAGCCTGCACAGCAGTGGGCTGAAAGGAGGCCTCGCAGCTGGGAGCTGCCTTCCAAGGACGAGGCCCTGCTGGGTGTCACGTGGGCCTGATGTACACCCACAGCACCAGGTCACCTGCGCTAGGCAGATCACGTCTCGTGTTTCTTTGTCCGGATTTCTTCTTCCTCACTTTCTGCTGCCCGAAACTAAAGAAAGTGCCGTGGAGTGGTCAAGGCAGTGTGCTGGGCCAGTCTGCAGGGTGGCCTTGTCTGCTGGAGAGACCGTGGCCACTGTGCTGCTGTCGGAGGGCACAGGGTGGGGGCATGGTGGCCCCGGCCTCGAGGCCTGGCTGAGGGTGGGCTTCCAGGTATTCTTTGGGATCTCTGTTCTGCGGCAAACAGGAAGCAGCCCATTATGATGTGCCCTCCCCTGCTGCCTTGCAGTTGGCTTGAAGCCTGCTACTATTTTCTAAACGTGTGGACCAGAAACAAAACAAAGATTTTCCAAAATGAACAACAGGTGAGGTAATTTCCTATAAAGCTCCCTCTGAGCTCTTCTCTTGTCCTGGGCAGACAGACCATGAGCCTGTACCATGGCCAGCACCGTGCCCTGGCTCACCCGGATTCCTTCCTCTTGGCCAAAGCGCACGCCTCAGTGCCAGTCCCAGCTTCACCTTGCCCTCATTCCAGGACAGCTCTGCAGAGAATCCAACCCGGCCAGGCTTGGCCATGGCCTATGACTGTGCAGATGCGGCGTATTTTATTAACTTCGTCGTCTCCTCCTATAGGATTGTCCTCAGCCGTTACAGATGTGCATGTAGAAAGCTGATGCTGGGCTGGTTCTGCCTGCATCCATGTGACTGTGCCTTGTACACAGCTCACTGGAAAGACTTCCTGAGTCGGGCGTCTGCTTCGTTACACCCATGCTTGCGGATGAACAGATTCCCAGTCTCAGAAAGCTTCCCCTGACTCCCAGGGTAGCACAGTGGTAAAGTACTTGCCTAGCCTCACAACCCCAGGTTCCATCCCCAGCACTGAAAATCAAATCAAAAGTCTGTGGGGGCCAGGGATATAGCCCAGTGGCACCGCACCTGCCTAGCAAGTGCAAGGTTGTGAGTTCAATCCCTGGTACAAAAAAAAAAAAAAAAAAATCTACCACTGAACAGCGTAAAAACCTTTAAAAATCTGATAGTCATAATTTCCTTATGTCAGCATTAAAATAATCTGGCTGGCTGGAACATTACAATTCTCTTGCACAATCCAAAATGTGTCTTTAATTTGAGAAAAATAAACAGTGAATCAGAGACAACTTTTTTATAAAGCTGTACAAAGAATATCAACCAGCTAGAGCTCCGCTTTGTAGTGTGCCTTTAAAATTTGTCACAAAATTGGTGGCTTTAACTTCTTGCTTTTCTGATAGACGCTTACATGGGTCAGTGCAGATAGTAGATACCGTCCAAGCAATATTCTTCTAAAGCCTGAAAGTATTTGGAACATTTCCCTGGGTGGGAAAAAATTAACAAGGATGTTACTACAGATAGAAATCCTCTCCAACTATTTTGTCTTTGATGATCATTCTATTCAGGGCTTTAGTCTTGTAATATACCTGGCCTGTTTGGGACCTCTTCATTTTTTCTTCTCTTTCTCTTTCATGGTGCTGGGGACAAACCCAGTGGTTCTACATGCTAGGTGAGGACTCTTATCACTTGCTATACTGCCCACACTTTTTTTCCCAGTACAAGGGAGTGAACCCAAGGCCTTTACACTGAGCCACATCTCGTACTTTTTGCTTTTTGAGACTGGGTATTGCTAAATTTCCCAGGTGGGGCTCAGACTTGCAATCTTCCTGCTTTAGCCTCCTTCAGTGCTAGGATTATAAGCTTTTGCTACCACCTGGCTTGCCAGCACATTTGTGTGTCTGTCTGTCTGTCTTTCTGAGACGGTATTGCTATGCAGTTCAGGCTGGCATTGAATTCACTTTGTAGCAGAGGCTGGTCTTGAACTTGCAGTGATCCTCCTGTCTCAGCCTCCAAAGTGCTAGGGTGTATCACCACGCCTACCTTTGTTTTGCCAGCATATTTTATTAGTATATAAATACAAATGTCCCAGCTCCCCTGATGAATTAGTTTGCGCTGCATTTTTCTCTCCTAGGAAAGGAGAGCAGTTGGCTGAGGTCCTGCAGACTGTGGGTTGTTTGCTCCCTCTGAAGTTCAGAGTAGGAAAGCTTTTAACTTTGCAGATGCAGGGTTCTCGCTGGGTTTCCTGGGGTGTGTGATTCTGAACTTGCTGCTGGGCTCTTGCTCAATTTGTCAGATGTCCAAATTGAGCTTGAAGTTGTTCCAGCTTGCCAAGTCTTACTTGTCCTTTTTTCATACTTTGCCTTTCTTGAAAAATGCATTCCGTTCATTTGCAATTCCTGGGCTGTTTGCAGATCGGTTTGTGAGTCTGTACCTGCCCAAGAGGTTTGTAGATGGCAATTCTAGAGGTCTACAGACATGGTCGCATTCCTGCCTTGGAAAGCTTGAAAACCTTACCAGTAAATCTGCATCAGAGCCAAATCATATTTGCTTTATGTCAAACCTGTGGAGAACTAAAAATACACCACACAATGTTTATAGTGTTTTGTATGTCACTCGTTTCAGTATTGATGTAAATTAATGCTTCCTAGAAAATGTGTCTGTTCTTTGTACTGTGGTAATAAATTTCTACTGTGTCTTAATCCTGTGTATGCTTCCCGGTTATTTTTGTCTACATTAAGCAGCCACAGTAGCAATTGTCCATGGCTCTTATTCTGCCAAGGTGAAGTGAATGTTATACATGTGCTTCTTTGTGTTTGTTTTTGTGTAACTTGCATTTATGGCAATGAACTGACCAAGGTGGATTTCTTAGTGCCTTTATCAGTTTCCATTGTGAAATGGGGGGAAAAATCAAGGCTTCCCCAAGTCACTGGAAGTTTAGGAGGCAAAGTAAGAGCAGGGGCAGGAAAGGTAACCATTTCCTTCTGGGAGGAAAGGAGCTCCAGTGCCCCTCCTCTGCCCCACTCTAGTCTTGTGTGTGCGTGTGCGTGTGTGGGTGGGGGTATTTGGGCTTGAACCCATAGGTCCTCTACCACTGAGCTACATCTCCAGGGTTGTTTCCCCCCCCCCCGTCCCCAGGGTTTTTTTTTGGTGTGTGTGTGTGAGGGTCTCACCATACAGTCCAGGCTGGCCTCAAACTCATAGTGATCCTAATGATTCCCCGGCCTCAGCCTCCTAAGTGCTTAGATTACAGGTGGGGGCCACCACTCCTGGCTTCAACATCTCCAGCCTTTTCTGTTTTTCTATTTACTGTCATAGTGGGAATTCAACTCAGGGCCTTCACACTGAGCTACATCCCCAACCTACTTTCCTTTTTTTTTTTTTTTTAATTTTAAAGAGAAAAAAAAATTTCAAAACAAGATAATAGAAGGGCAGCAATGGTTAATACATTGTGTATTGTTATCTTTAAATTAGTTACTCAGAGTATAAAATATCAGCATTTAATTATCCAAGCAGTTTCCCCACCCCCACACCAGGAATTGAACTTACAACCTCGCGTTCGCCAGGCAGGTGCTGTGCTGCTGAGCTAAATCCCCAGCCCCTATCCAAGCAGTTTTAACACAGAACTTTTTCAATGAACTAAGGCAAATTAATAGTATAACTTTTTTTTTTTCTTTGTCTTTTTGAGACAGGATCTCTCTATGCAGTTCAGGCTGGTCTTGAGCTCACTTTGTAGCCCAGGCTGTCTCAAACTCACAACGATCGCAACGCTCCTCCTGCCTCAGCCTCCCGAGTGCTGGGATTACAGGCATGCACCAACACGTATGCCCAGCTTAGTACAACTATCTTAACTATCTTTTTTTTTTTTTGCTCTTTCCTTCCTTCTTTTCTCCATCTCCCACCCCAGTTTTTCTTTCCTTTGAAGTTTCTTGCCATTTTATAATATCTGTTGTACATTTTGGATCTTACTTACTCTTACGTGTGTGTGCATGTGTGTGTGTGTGTATTACCAGGAATCAAACTCAGGGCCTTGCACTTGCCAGGCAGGTGCTACGCCTCTGAGCTATATCCCCAGCTATTCTTACTTGTGTTTACACATATGCATCTGCTTTATTTCACTTATAAGTATGGTCTCGAGTTGCACCCATTTACCTATAAAAATCTCCAGTTTATTGTTCTTTATGGCTAAGCAGTACTCCATTGTATAAAATGACCACATCTTTTTCATCCATCCCTCAGTTGATGCACATTTGGGTCGTTTCCAAGATCTAACTATTACAGATTGTGCTGCTTTAAACATGGGTGCACATATATCACTGTGGTATGATGTTTTTAATTCTGGGAAGATACCCAGTAGGGGAATACCTGGGTCCAATGAGACCTCAAATCCTAGGGTTTTTGTGTGTTTTTTGTCTGA